GGAGGCTGTACATTCACATATAGCAGTATAATTTGATTATTATTTCAATTCTATCGACTTATTCTTATGATACTACTTGTTATTTACTTTTGCTCAGTGGCAGGACAAGTAGGTGGGTGCCGTAAGGCGGATCCGAGGAGAAGGCCCCTGATGAGTGCCAGGTGCGCTTCCTGGCTGAAACGTGCGTAGGGCAATGAGCGCGTTTCTTCTGAGCTCAGTGCGTGCGGTTGARCATGGAAATTTCTGTTGAAGCATGCACGAAGGACAGTCTATGGCCTCTGTTTATCACTATTTCTTAATAACTAGTTTATGTTTATTTGAGCGTTGCTGGAGGGCCAGTTTAGCAGAATAGTTTGATTATTATTTCAATTTTATTTACTTATTCTTATTATTACTTATTATTTACTTTTTGCTTCTTAATAACTATGTGTATACATATGTAGATATTATATAGGTATAGATGTAATCGGATATATATGTGTCTGTGCGTAATGTTGGTGAAATAGGAGGGGGAGGAAGGGGAGAGGCGAAATGACAAGCTGGTCCTCGAGCAACGCTCAAATCAAMWTSAWKTTGATTTGAGCGTTGCTCGAGGACCAGCTTGTCATTTCGCCTCTCCCCTTCCTCCCCCTCCTATTTCACCAACATTACGCACAGACACATATATATCCGATTACATCTATACCTATATAATACCTACATATGTATACACATATAAGTACGTAGTGATGTATTGTGTATGTATATGCGATCATAAGTATATATATTGAAGTGGATGGAGTGGGATTCTCAGGGCATACTCACGCAAGCACTTTTCTAAATGCATCTGACTGCAATTACGGCCAGACCTAGATGCATCTGACCGAAATTACGTCCACAGCTGAGTCGAAAAAGTCCTACTGTGAGTATGCCCTCAAACATCTCATCCATTCATTTATTTGTTTACCTTTTGACGTCAGTTTTGTAACACAACAGCAGATCATCACCAGGTCACCCATTATTTCCTTTTGGCTCCATTCCTTTTTTCCCTTTCTTTCCTTTCTTTCATTTCCTGTGCCTACTTTTTTCCAACTTGCTTGTCATTATTCCTTTGCCCCCTTTCTTTCCTTTTCTCCCTTCTTTCCCTTTTTCCAACTGTACAATATACGCCTGACAATATTTGTCGAATAAATTATTCCTTTGCCGCCTTTCTTTCCTTTTTTCCCTTCTTTCCCTTTTTCCCACTGTACTAATACACCTGATAATATTTGTCGAATAACACTTGCCTTCTTTCGCGACTCACCTTTGTCAGCCTCCCTGACCGCTCAATTACTAGTATTATACTCCCATGCCCCCTTCAGATAAGGGGGAAGGGGAAGGGGGAAGGGAAAGGGAGGAGGGGAAGGGGGAAGGGGGGGGGAATGGGGGAAGCAGGAAGGGGGAAACCGGAAAAGGGAAGGCGGAAGGGGGAAGGAGGACGGGGGAAGGACTAGGAGGAAAGGAGAGCAAAGGCGCGGGGAAGGGGGAAGAGAAAACAGAAGGGGGCACTTCTCAGCCTCCGATTTGATTGCTCGACCATGTAGTAGATATCCTCCAAAGGTTTACTTTTTTTTTTGGGTAATGCTAGTAATACTAAAAAATCGAGAAAATGAGGAAAAAAAAAATAAATCGAGAAAATAAGGACTTCTATTTCGAGCACATCATCACCCTGACGATTTTTTTTTTGGGTAATTTCAGAGCACAAAGCAGATTACATAATGCGGCCGCACATATTGTGTTCTCCTTCCTTAAGATAACCGATTTGCCCCGTATTTTCAATCCGAGAGATTCCCTTGTTTTCTAAATCTGAGAAATTCCTTTTTGTTTACGCTGAGACGTTCCTTTTCTCTTCTTTTTTTTTTAAATACTAAACGGCGATGGCCTTGCGATGTCATCGTGAAACTGACCGGCACAACGCAACTCAGACACTCATTCCACGATCAGAAATGCATTCATTCAACCACTCGTGGATGTACCCAGGTGAAAATGGATGTTCCAACGAAGCTGGGTTCGAGCTCGTCTGTGTATTTTTTCAACAGCTCGTGAAACTGACCGGCTCAATTGAAATCTGAATTATAATTCAGAAAAAAAAAAAAAAAAGAAACTGACCGGCACAGCAGGTTCAACTCTGGGTTCGAGCTCACGTCTGTGTACTTCAACAGCTTGTGTTTGTACCAACTGAGCTCGGCCAGTTTATCCTTTTTTTTAATCCCAGACGTTTTATTTATTTTTTTAACCGTGAGACGATCGTTTTGTTGCGTTTCTCTTGTTTTTTGCGTTATTGCACTACCTACATCTTTTTCTTTTTTCTTTTTTCCCACCGTTTGCTACGCGTTTGATTCGTTCTTGTTTTCGTTCATGAGGATAAGCCTGCTGGAAACTCCTCGACCCAAAAAAGAGAGGGGGGGGAGGCGGGGAGGGGGGAGGAGGAGCGGAAAGAGGAGATACTCTTCCCGTCCAGCTTACACGTGCACGCTGGACCCAAAAAAAAAAGAAATTTCAAGAAAAACGTGCAGAAAAGAATAAAGGGTGGAAATGGGGTTTAGAAACAAACCCCAAAACAAAAAGCGATAAAAAACAGGGGGGTATCCACGCACCGCAAATGGGTTTAAACTTTATAGCACTTCCGCATGAACCCGGGGGGGGGCGGGAGGAAAACCACCCCCGGGGGGGGGGGGTACACTGTCGCACGACCAAACTACTGTAGTGTATGGGCGCAGTAAGCAAGCCGTGACGATTTGAGAATCAATCATTCAAATTAATAAAAAACAGGGAGACCGGGAACGTAAATAAACAAACAAAACAGCAAATACAAAAATATATAAACAGATAGATAACAATCTGAATACAAATTAATATGCATTAAAAAAAATACAATACATACGCTTACACGCACAATAAATATCTACATCAACAAATTACCACCGCTGGCGAATCCGACAGCCGCAGGGCAATTCGGTGTCTAATAAGAACAATAAGATTTTTCACGTTGTTTTCGGGGGGTTTTGTTTTGTTTTGTTTTGTTTCGCAATATAGAAACCCCGAGGTTTTGACAACAAAACGAAAGAAGAAAAGCATGTACGTGAAGGAGTCCTCTACTTCCAATAGTAAAGGGAGACAATAGTATATCCAGCAATGAAACCAAAAAAACAAAAGAAACGTGGTAACAAAAAGAGCGGAAAAAAAATGAAAAATGAGCATGCAAGCATTCAGGCAGAAGAATGATTCATTCTTTTCAGAATTTATTTTTTTTCCCTCTAAAAAGAATTTTATTTTCCCCTCTCCGTCTCTTCCAGGAAGCCTCTTACAGAGCACAAGCCAAGCCTCTTGTTGTTTTTTTCCCACCTTCCTCCCCTTCTTTATTTTTTTTCACCTTCCTCCTTTCGAGGCCGCCTCAAACGTTTCCTGTCCCCATTACTTAATGCTCTCTATTCTCGTTTAAAAAAAAAAAAAAAGTGGCCCGGGACCGCTTGCCCGGCCGGGTCTTTTTTTTTTTGGTAAAGAATTTCGATTTGACCCTGAGGCAAAAATTGTTCAGTGTATCATTTTTATTTTTTATCGGAAATTTTGGATTTTTTTTTATTTTTTTTTTTTGCTGGGACCTTCCCTGGTCCTTGCACGGCCAGGCCGCCCAGGAAAACAAGGGGACCCGGGCGGTACGGCTGGTAGCCTAGAAAAGCAATATGTTTTATTTCGATAATAATCGTGGTTACCATTATTTCCTCTTATATTTCGTTTCTCATTCTCCACTAGATGTCCAGTTTCTCTACAACCCCACCCCGCATCTTCCAGGCCGCCGCTTCGTCCGCCGCAGCCTTCCCCTTCGCCTTTCATCTTTCATCTCGCTCCCGCATGACCACCACCATCAGACCCAGCATCCATAGTAACTGGGTAGAACAATCTTTCATCGATTCTTGCTGACGTGGCAGAGTTATTAACCACTCATTTACGCATTTTTCAATCCTCTTCGCTGCCTTGAATCTTCTCTCAACCCTCGATCACTCAACTCCTTAATTAGCATCTCCTACCTTCTCCAACAACCCCTGGAAAATCCCTGTGTCCCCTGCAAGGCTTTTTGCTCCACCTTCCCTATATCCCAATCTTACCAGTTAGCCGTCTTACCCTCGTCCGAATTACCAAAATGTACCTCTCCCTCTTCCACATATATACACATAAGAACAACACAGCGTCCCAGACACACACACACACACACACACACACACACACACACACACACACACACTCGCACACAGACGCGCGCGCACACACCAAGTAGGCTCACCCACCTGGTTAGACACGGCCGCAAGATCGCGCGAGATGACTGAGCCCCGAGCCACTCAGAACGGATGGAAATGGCTCTCGGGCACAATGTAGGGAAAAGATTGATGTCAGAAAGTAGTTTCACACACACACACACACACACACACACACACACACACACACACACACACACACACGCACGCACGCACGCACGCACGCGCACAAACACACACACACACACACACACACGCACACACACGCACACACACACACATACACACACACACACGCACACACACGCACACACGCACACACACACACACAGACACACGCGCGCGCGCACAAACACACACACAGCCANCACGCACGCACGCACGCGCACAAACACACACATACACACACTCACACGCAAACACACGCACGCACGCGCACAAACACACAGAGCCACACACGCGCGCGCACAAACACACACACAGCCACACAGAGCCACACACACACACACACACACACACACACGCACAGGCCTTCCTCACATCACCCAAACGTATCATGAATAAATGTAAGCGATAAATGCGGACAGATGTGATCAGGATTGTTCACCAGTGAGTTCCCCCACTCCTTATGGATCATCGGCATACTGATTGCTCTACCATTTCCCCCCCTCCCCCCCTCTTTTCTATTCTTCTTTCGTCGTCTGCCCATCACATCATCTTCTTCCCTACCTGTGTTGGCCGCATCGCAGTCTCGAGAGCGGACAATCGCGCATCGAACGTGCCCAAGATCCCAACCATTGAGTTCGTCAGCATTTGACTCCTGGTCAAACTCTCTCTTATTAGTTGCGCTTTCGCTGACAGCTTCTCCGTCTCGATCCCCATTCCCGCTGAGCGCCAGTCTTAAGCTCCCTGCCTTACAGACTCTCCCTCTCTCCCTCCCGTCCTTTCTCGTCCCTCCCCTTCGTCTTCCTTCCCCTTTTTACTCCCTCCCTCTACCCCCCCCCCCGCCGCTCCTGCAATTCAGTCCCCGCGCTCTTCTTCCTCCTCCCTAGTAAACAACACGAGGGGAAGAAGAAAAGCAGTATTAGACAAGCGGGAGCGGGCGCAGAATCGCGGAAGAAGAAATGTGTCACCGTCCTCCTTCCCGCCGTCTGCGAAGGCAATCCTGCGCACGGGTCAAGCAGAGGGCAAGATGTCCTGAGGGCGCCAGAGGAGAGTGCTAATCCATCGGAAGGCTTTCGTGAGGGCGAATCCCAACCTCCCCCAGCACAGCGCCGAACCTCAGCTCCGGCCACCGCTGCAGTGCTGCGCAAAAACCAGCTCCGCGTTTCCCGCACATTTGCAGGCCCCACGTGAATGTTCCAAATCGGGCCCCTCGGTGCTTCCGCAGACCAATCAAACGAAAGCAAAGCACCCCTCAATAACCGTACCACTCCTCGGGCAAGCCGCGCTTATTCAGCGCCAATTCTGCGCCCAAGTCCGCGCCAGTACTACACCCATTTCGCGCCAGTTCTGCGCCGATTCCGCGCCAATCGAGAAAACACTCCGCACCAATTTCCGCACCAATCCCAAGCCAATCCCGAGCCAATTCTGTGCCAATCCCACGCTAATTCTGCGGCAATCTGCTACCCACCCCGCGCCCTTCCCCCAGCACCTCCCAGCCGATCCCCCCTTGCGCCCCTGCGCCCTCGCTGCTGGAGTCGGAAAGCACCTGGCTGCTCTGTTGCACTAGGTTCGACAAACAGAACAAAAAGGTCGTCTCGTCTCCCCAAGGCACACAGGAACGGTCGACGAGATTGTTTGGTTACCCGTGAAGAGTACTCACACATTGGCGCATCCACGTGTACTGGAGCAGCAGCTACAGCAGACAGAGGCTTCGGCGCCAGCTCCCTAAACACCTCCGGTAGAAGCTCCAGCAGAGGCTCCGCCAGCAACACCGCCGCGGTAGCAGCTCCGGCGGCGGCAGCTTCCCCCACAGCAGTTTCAGGTCCTACTCCCTCTGCGCCCCCCGCGCGCGCGGACGTTTTCCGCCCGTCCGCCCGGTCTATTAGTCGTCCGCACCGCAAATTCGCCCCTCTCGTTCCTTCTACCTACCTACACACAACTCGACCTTTTGCAGCAACCCCACTCTCCCCCCTAGGCATATAAAACAGCCGCCTGTCGACCGCATCCCAACTACAATCCCGCCAAATACAGTCCAAGTCCAAAATGTTCAAGTCTGTAATAACTCCCGCCTAACGCCTATACTGTGACGCGATGGGGCGAAGCAAACTCGCACAATAACCACAACACACTACCGTAGACGCTAAGTCCCACCTTCTGGACATCGCCTCTTCATCTGTTCTGGCGGCAAGCTGTAGACATAGTGGAGGGAATCACATCACATCACACAACACACAAATTGTCGAGGCGTCGCCCTCAGGAGAGAATCAAACACACTAAATCAAACACACTACAAACTACCAAGTCTGCAACACGTTACTAATTACTTATACTAAAACGACTATGTAGATGTAGGCCGAAAATATTCAGACCAAAACCCAAACAACAAAATTGCGAGATCGCGCGCCCGCCATAACCCCACCCCGCCGAGCCCCGCCTTTTTTTCTCGCCACGTCATGCGCAAACAAAGGGCAACCCCGCCAACAACAAAGGTTTTTAATAGACGAGAGTCGAAAGCCGAGACTCGAGCCACTCGAGCCACTCGAGCCACTCGACAGTCGAGATTCTCGGCGGCAGTTCCCGGGATCGACCCGCCCTTGCCGTTGTTGTTCGCCGGCGGTTCTCCTTCTCCACCTCCTTCTCCACCTCCGCCCGCCCCTCTTCTTCGACGAACGATTCTGTGCCTTCGGTGGGCGGCGGGTGTCCGTGCGCTTGAGCGCGCTCGCAGTGGTCCTCACGCTGACGCTCCCGCTCGCGCACTCCTCGCATTCCTCCGGCCCAGCTGGCCGGCTGGTCATGCCAGATTGAGTTTTCGAAATTGTTCGGGAATTTTCATTTTCGGGAGTCAGGAGATTTCGTGGATTATTGGGAACTCAGTATCGGGTTGATACGGCCAACTGGCAAATTAAGAAAATCAAAAATGGCGGGGGCGGTGAGGAGTGAGGAGGAGGGGGAAAGACGGGACACAACCGAAAACGGCTCGACGTTGACTGCGCATGGGCCGTTCATGCCTCCCTCTGACTGCCTGACTGAGACTTTTTCGACTGAGCTCTGGACGTGACTAGGGTCAGATTCGTCGAGATCTGCCCGTCATTCGTGTCAGGTGCATTTTCGCAAGTCCTGCTGTGAGCATGCCCTGACTGGCTCCGGCTAGATACTACCGGTAGCGTTTTTTTTCTTTTACTAGCTTCAACCAACGGGCCTAGCTCAGTTGGTACACCCAATGAACTGTTGAAATACCGACCCACGTTCGAATCCATTGGCGGTCAGATGATGAACAGATACTAAACTCAAAATTCATGAATGGATCTGACCAGATGCACAAAATGGAGAATATCTCCGGGGAAAAGTGGGACCCCTCGCCATTCGCCAAAATTCTGAGTGAATTGAACAGGAAATTCGACATAATGCATTCAAAATGTTGGCGGATGGGAGTAGCGGAACTGCCGTAGGAATTGTGTGACATTGGTGAGTGGCACGGCGAGACGCGATTTTTTTTTTTTTTTTTTTTGGTTGGGGGGGGACGAGACGCAATATACCGCGCGCACGCTGGCGGATCACAGGTTTTTCTTTTTGGGGTTTGTTTCGCAGGATCATAGGTTTATTTTGGGCCCAGACTCTGTTTGCATCCTAGTAACGGCTACCGTTAGAGCCGTTCTTTCCTCTGGCGGGGGACTGTGGACCTCGACCCGCCGCTCTCTAATTGTGAAAAGGACAAAAATTGCGAGTGTCACTTTAAACCTTGTAGGTAAAGATACGCAGAAGATTACCCGGTAGCCATTTTAAACCTTCGGTGAGTACTGCAGCGCAGCAAGGCGGAGGCTCGCTGTGTAGTTCTTATGATGAATAAGCAAGCAATAAGAACGAAATGCGCCGTTGAGTTTCGCAATCTAGATCTAGGGTCCGAAGCGAGAAATCAGTCTTTTTTTTTTTTTTTTTTTTTTTTT